TTGTATGTGCCCTACAAGTCAATCACGTGAGTGATGACACGTATAACTTGACACATAGTCTTTTTACTTATTATATTTTAGCATTTATCACTTTATATTGCTTGTTATATATATATATATATATATATATATATATATATATATATTGTGATATCCTTGGATCTATGCAATGAGAATCAAATCGTGATGAGATCACGATAATGAGACCGATTCGTCTTTAAACATATATCCTAAAGAATCCTAGTCATATGTTACTCGAGAAGGACATCAAAATAACCAGACAGACTTATTATTATTATTATCTGAACAGCATCAAAATTTACGCATTATATATTTAGATATATTATTATTTGATTTCAGATTTTGATATTAAAATTATTTACATAATAGTATAAGAATGATTTTTATGCTTACAATTAGTATCAAGGCTACAACTATAGTCTATAACTAGTGTACTTAAATATTTTAAAAAAATTTAAATTTATTGAAAAATCAGTGGTTGGCATATTAAAGAAACAACTAACTGAAATTCAATATGACAATATTTGAGAAATTTAATTTTATATTTTCAATATGACAACAAAGCTATAAGCTTAAAAATATTGAGCATGAATGTAATTAAGTTATTTCTCGTATAATTTATTCTTAATTTTGTTTCTTTTTAATTTTGCTCATTTAAATCTATTATAATAAAATTAAGAATAAGTAAAATTTTAATGAGTTAACTAGTATATATATTTTAAAAGAATTAAGATTAAAGTAAAAAAGATGCAATATTTTATATACTACTTAAGGACGTGTTATTTGACTCGAAATTTTTTTTTTATTTTTTATGCTTAGAGAAAGAGAAAAGAGAGAAAGACTCTCCATGGAATCCCGATTATGGCTTTTGACTCAGGGTCGTCTTCTCTGGGAAAATATCTCCTTTTCCTTCGATGGCATTCTCGCAGCGTTGTAGAGCGCTTGTGCGACTTTATTCGCCAAGAGTTGGAGGTGCGAGTCTTCAATGCTCTTTTGAGGAAGGGGAAATGGAACTTATTGACTCAACAGCTGGGAGAAAACAAAAGAGGCATCGAGAAAGCTGTGCGAGTGGACAGTGGAGTGTCTGCAGATTTTTGTAAAGGAGATTGTTATTGGTATTTTTTTTTTTTACTTTACTATTGTTAACCTTTTTTATTTCATATAATTATATAATAAAACATAAAATATAATTTTATTAAATATAACTTTTTAATTATTAATTATATTCTTATTTTTCATGACCCCTCAATTATCATAATTCGAACCCAGAATACAAATTGACCCATAAATCTACCTTCAGATTGTTATAAATGAGAATATTATCATCTTTGCTCCAGATTTTTGTAAAAGAGAATGTTATTGATATTTTTTTACCATTGTTAACCTTCTTATTTCATATAATTACTTAAAAATATAAGATATAATTTTTTTAAATATAATTTCTTAATTACTAATCATATGCTTATTTTTCACAGCCTCTTAATTGTCTCTTCTATGATAATATAAATTGTTCTTTACCGGAACATATCTTTAGAATGTTATAGAAACACTCAAAATATTATCTTTAAGGTATGCAACCCGATGTTTTAAGTCATAAAAACATTAAAAATGATCTAATAAATATTAAAAAAAATATTTCTTTTTTTTATTTTCTCATGTTGAAAGAGATTATTAAAATGAAGTTAAAAATATTTATATTTATTTACAGAGGAGTATATTTAGGAATATTAAATTTCAATAAATAGAAGGGATCACGTGAGATTTGCGATGAGGAGCGATCCGGAGAGTACAGCGAGATTATGGAAAGAGGAAGCCGGAGATGGGAAGTTCTAATTGGCTGCGAAGGAGAGTAATTTAGGAAGAAAACGCGCCAAAAGATCTTATTCCATCTTCTCGTCCGAAGCGAAGCAAATCAAACGTTATACCCAATTCCTACAGTGAAACCGTGCTTTCTCACCTACGACCCATCGGACTAAAGCTGGTAAAGGCCGTGTACGAAATCCCTCTGTGTTAGTGTAGCGACTCGCACTTTCTCGGGTTAATTATATATTAATTTTTATAATTAATTATCTTAATATCTCGATTTTATATTTTTAATAGTTATATTGAAATCTTTATATTCATAAAAGTAAAACATTTAATCTCGTTTCTTCTCGTGTTATTGATTTTACTGATAGAAACATAACATCTATTGATTTTTTCTTATTTCGCTTTATTGATCAGTATGTATGATATTTCTATAAATAGAATCGACGATTTTGAAGAAAAATAAGATTAAATATTTATAAATATAAAAATATTAATATAATATTTTATGTAAAAATTAAAAGAATTAATTATATATTCTCTCTGTAATTAGTTATCTTTAGTATCTCGATTCCTATATTTTTAAAAGTTATATTAGGATCTTTTATGAAAGTAAAATATGAAAATCCCTATATAAGATTAAAAAAATAATTTTATAAAGTTAAAAATTTAAAAAAATTTGTTAGAATAATGAGTTAAATATTTTACTTTCATAAATATAAAATTTTAATATAATTTTTAAAAATATAAAGATGAAAATACTAAAGATAATTAATTATAAAAATATTCTATAATTAGACTGAACGATAGCTAATTACACAGAATTTACTGTATAATTAAACCCTCTCTCTGTCTCTCTATCTCACTGTCTCTCTATATATATAGAATAAGAGCCGAGCCCTGGAAGCATTCTGTTTCCGAGACATCTCTACGACAATGGAGCACTCGCCGCCAAAATTCCATGTAACACCTCTTCTCCTTTTCTTTTCTTTTTCCCATTAATCTTATCTCAAAGCTTTAATCCTTCAAACTCCGCCTTTTCCTGGTTGCGTGCAGGTGTTGATGATTTTAGTGCTGTGGACGG